GGGGGGGCTTGAAAGAGGGGGAGCTTATTAAAGGGGGGCTTATTAGAGGATTTACAGTATTTCAGAGAATACAACCTGATCAATATTCCTTTTTCATTCTAGTTAAACTTCTATTTAAAAATGTGAGGGAAAGATCCTTTTTGATCACTCCAGGGAGTGAAGAGTTTTAAAAACCCTGACACAGGTCTGTCTTTATAGAAGCAGCTACAGTACATGCATGTGTCCCAAGTTACCAATGTTTACATTTGATTTAGATGTTTTTATGTATAAGCAGCTATCAATGTTTTATTCCTTTAAACTAGAAAACAGCTATTACCTTAAAGCCTTTTATATTTATAGATCAAATTAAAGTGGAGAAATAAAAACATTTTAACGAATGATGCCGGACGAAAGCTAAAGTCAAAGTACGATGATGTAGAATGTCTCTTTTCAATGTCACCTCACCTTTGGTAATTTTCAAATTCTTCACCTTAGCAGCACTGATGGTCCTCAGGCGTAAGATCCCAGCTTCTGCCGCCTACAAAAAAAAGTGATATCTAATCAAACCGGAGGAAAGAGTTGGGCGGATATCACAATTTCAAGGTTAAACGATCAACAATAACGATTAATCATAGTCAAAGAAAATTTTGTTGATTTAATATCATTCATGCCATCATTGAAGGAGCCAGAACTTCCCAAGGACCCGAGCGAGGCTATTCTAAGACATCAAACTGGCTTCTTACCTCTTTGACCGGTTGGAATTTTCGCCTTGTCTCGTTCGACAAAGCCCTAAGGTCAGATTGGACTGCATCAAGAAATTTCCTAGATCGCTCGTCTAGTGTTTTCGACATATTCAAGATGATCAACAGCGAGTCCTCAGATAAATTAAGTGTTTATCTCTGCTGGGATTTGTACTTTTTCTGGCCATTTTAGGATTGTTTATGTCCGAAGTTTTCACGGGAATAATTTGATCGAACAAAGGGAGGAGGCCGCCATATTGGATAGCTGATGTGGCTCGTGCCAGACCTCTAATGAGATCCACCAAATGTTGAAAAAGACTAGTTTGGAGAGCTCCTCAGGAAGGGAACCTTTTCACTAGTAACACTTACATTAGTTATCGTCCAATCGCTTGTATCCTTATCTCAAACTTGAAGGTGCCTGTCACAGAATGTGCTTGTTCTTTGCGAACAGAGGAGATCTAAGACAATCCTAGCAAATACATGTGAAAATATTGCACCCAGAAGGAGCCAGAATTATAGCTGCAGGTTTTCTGATGATATTTGAATTAAATCAGAAGCTTTGCCATCTCAGAGCATGAATCCAGAAGGACACAGGAAGCTTCAACTTTTCCTTGGTTCACTGTTCATTGAAGTATCCAATGGGGTTATTGTTTTAGTTTGTTTTCATAATTTTATCTCTTTCAGTATCTGAATGAAGCTTAGTTGACAGTGTAAAACTAAAGCCATGTTTTTGTTTGGGTGATAATAGTAACAATAGTGATAATAATAATAAGTATAGGTAATCACATGATTTCGAGTGCAATTTGGAATAAATGAGTACGAGTAAATTTTTTCAAAGACTAACAAAATTGCATGAGCCCGTAGGACGAGTGCAATTTGTGGTCTTTGAAAAAATTTATAAGTGCTTATTTATTCCAAATTGCACGAGAAAATCGTGTGATTATCTATTAATAATATACTTGAAAAAATACGAGGTAGCTTCTCATAACTACGCAGAGGAAAAGCGCGCGCATCACGTGCAAAAATATTTTATTCAAACCCTGCAAGTGACATTGACCTTGACATTGACCTTGACATTGACATTGACCAATCATTCTGACCAATCAGAATGTCTGGTTTGTTTCTTTCTTTGCACTGAATTAGTTCTCTTCTGCACTGAATTAACTGAAAGCTGCATTCATCTTAACTAATCAGAACTGAGAAATTTTTTTCATGTGTATTATTATAATAATAATGATGATGATAATAATGAGTTAAAATACTGTTTTATTAAACTATAAAACACATGAACATAATTTATAGAAAAAAAATTGAAGTAAGAAGTAAGCAGTATGGAACATTAAGAATCATATAAATCATAAAAGATACAATCAATGTGTCAATAACAATTTCCCAGATACATTCCTTCTGGCTCAGATGTGATCAGAATCTCTTGCAGGGAGTCCATATTTTAAATCAAGTAATGACAGAAGAAAATTATTCGTCTCTAGTATTAAAAGAAATAAAATCTCATACCCCTAAGAAACAAAGATTGACACTAATGATTAATAATAATAATAATTTTTAATTTTTTTTATTTTTAAAGTATAATCCTTTATTCACCATAATCACAAAAAATTATTACAAAAATTATGATAAAAAGCTTGAAAATCGTAAAAAATGTGTTAAAATGTCTAATAAAAATGAAAGAAAGACTAGAGGACACAAACTATGATAACGATAATCCACTCCAATCATCAAAAATATTTACAAATAAAATCCTTAAAAATCGAAAAATACATGAAAATGTCAACTAACAAGTTATCTCAAAAAAAAAAAATAAATAAATAATAATAATATTTGACGAGGAAACCCAACTCGCCAATGATATTTTCAGTAGGGCGGTAGGATATTCGTGATATCCCACGGTATCGTCTTTATATAATGAACTGGGATCCTGAGGAAGATTATGTCTCCACCTGGAAAAACCGACACATGTTTCCCGTCAGCGTACACAGCAGTGCAGGTGAGACGAAGACATGAGTCGCGATGAAGTATTTTTTTCTTCTCTGTATTTTCCCTAAGGCGATTAAAAGGAGTGCTTGTTAGTTTCCCCTTCAGCTTTTAGGGAAGAAGGAGGACAAACTAGGTTGGAGGGAACGGGGAAGGAAAGATAAAACCTACCCAAGATCGGATTCATCTATAGCTAACCAAACCAAACATCTGAATAAATTAACACGTTTCAAGATGATTCTCGTTTTTGTAGCGACCGGAAGGAATTTTGTTACAATAGGAACGTTGTGCAATCTTTTCTTTTCACTTCACCCCCAAACGGAGATAGAGTTCTGTTCGCTTCTCTTCCGCCACCCCATTGTAGTGACTGTTATTCAAGCATGAGAAGAAGGAGCTCTGTGGTTTTGTGTGAATATTAAGATATATCAAGCCTATTCTTTTTCAAACTTTCAATTTGTATCCGGCATCCTGCGTCATTATTGGAGTATCATTCTATTTGAGTTTTTCTTTCTCGCCAAACTAGTCTAATGAAGTCTTGTTCAAATTGAAGGCAGTTTCAGCGGCCAAGCGCAAGAAAAGACAAAAAGTTGAAATAACGTGACCTTTTCTCTCTGAGCGCAGCGAAAGATATTTATCTTATATCGGACTACCACTCCGTCAACAAAACCCTTATCGTTAAATAATTGAATGGTTTTCCGGGGCAATTTGTCACTCATGATTTATGACATATCAAGCAGGTCTCCTTACAGCTTCCTGTTTTACTAGTTACAAACTCTGATCAGCACTTCTACGTTTCCCGCAACGTGGCTTTAGCGAAGATTCAAAGATTTGTAAAAGGCTGTTTTATTGAGGTACGTAAAGCTCGCCTAACACGAAAATACTGTTTATTCTTGGAATTTCTAGGCTGAGTTTTGACTATAACTACCGGTATACATGGAATAATTTTTGGCAACATTTACTATAAATAAACGTCTAAGAACGGGCAAAAGTATTCGCAGAGTTCCAAATTTACAAGAAGAAGGAAGTTACAATAAATTGGGTCTGTGTGAATATATAATCAGCGTTTACAAGTTTATCAAATTATTAAATTTCGACAGAGATTTACGCTGAATTCATAATTCGGTAGCGATTCGGGACATTATTTCTTTGAGTGTTGAGACGACCTGAATCGGAATTAAACGACACTTTTATTACTGTGTTCTTCGCCTGTAACAAACAATCTGTGATGAGTTCAAATTACGTGTGAGTTCGTTGCGTTAAAACCACGACGCAAAACTTGTTCTGGACTATCAAAGTTGTCTGTTTCTTTTAATGCTGATGAAGTTATATCACACTTTTTACCAAAGACGATTTGAAAAGTGTGGGCGCAATTATTGCAGACACAATAATTAAACATACAATGCTAATGTTTCTCTGTCTCTACTAAACATTAAAGTTTTACGATTAACATCAAGTAAAATTAAGTTTCACCAAGACCAAGACGTGTTTCAAGTAGAGAGGAAGTCCGAGTCGCTTATTGTCATTAAAATACCTGCGATCGACCTTGTTTCGAACGTGTTACCCCTAATTCATCGGGGTTTCCCATACCAAGGTTACCTCGTCCCAAAAAATACATTTATTTGAATCCTCACTTTCTACTTTGAGTAAGTTCGCTATTTTAGGGTCGAAGGAGACACATTTTTCCTTTCCATTCGGAAACGGAAGGGGTACCGTAATGCATTAACAATCCTTCATTACGATATCGTTTTACTCGGAACTAAAAAATGAAACTATCTACGATTTAGGTCACAAATGTAATATAACTGAATAAGGCTTTTGTGAGAGCAGAAATATCAGCGGAATATGCTTGTCACTTTGAAAAAATACGATCTGTCAAACTGAAAATACAAGGCTTTGTCAGTTTGACGACATTTACATGTTCTGCTCTGTGTCATCTTTAAGGGTGCGCTTCACGATCCATTCCTAATTTTCCAACACGGTCGGTGCTTCTATGTCGTTTGAAAAAAATAATGGGACTTAAGTTAGAAAAATTATAGCTTTTAGCCAGTTTCGGATGCATATGGTGTTTATAAGGAACCAGGTCAACTTTGGGTTATGATTGAGTCACACTTTCCCCAAAACAAACTACTCGTTTTATTCAGTGAGAATAACAAATGAATTTGAGTGAAATAGGTGTCTTAAAAGTTCTGCGTGTATAACATTGTCAACTGAAATAACCCATGATTGAGAAGGGCATGCCCCAGCAAACTGCAACGACTCTTCTAAGAGAGACATTTTGCGGGAATATACTATTATTTATCACCTATCGGATGTTGTAATATTTTTCAAGTCTTCCCAGTTTCCTTGCACCTTTTCCTCCTCTTTCCTGTAATGTTAATAATTTGGTCCTAAAAAGAAAAGAACAATTTCATTGACTGAAGGATGACTACCGGAACGCACGTGAAGATGCAACGTAGGTTTTTGAGATCGTAAAGGAAACAGAATGTTTCCGTAAAAATTCCCTCGAGTTAATTTTGACGGTATTAAAGTAGCGTCATTTTTGAGGAAGCTGAGTTGAAACGCTTATCGAACGATTTTCACGTCTTCGATTTGGTTCTTTTACAAGTACAACCAGCGATGACGTTTCTCGAAAATGTTCAGTATTCACAGCACGCCTCAGTTGATTTTCAATTTAAATATTCTCTTGTGCAAATAACAAGAAGGAAATAATTGAGCTGCGTGACACGCCACTTCCTGTTTTATGACACTACACTTACTTCCGCCCACGCTTCGGTCCAATGACAGCACGACACAAACAGGAAGTCTTCACAGTTGCATATAAACCTCCTCAAATCGCCCACTCGACATTATCGAGTTTCGATACTGACCAAGTTACGGCCGTGAAACTGCTATAGAACGACGATTCTAAGAGGTATGGTTGATTATTATTGGTTTTTCGATGTTTTTGGCTCACGATGTGGGTTTACGTTCCTCGGCGAAAATTACCAAGATTTCGCATCTCGTGACAGTTGCGAACGGCGTTGCAAGCGAACCTTCCCGTTGTACTAACGATGTATTTCTTCTGTTCGGCAGAAATTTCAATTTGTGATTCAATTATCGCGAAAGTTTGAAATGAGTTCGAAGCCTAGCGGAATAGTGGCAAAATTTCTCGTTTTCTTTCTACGAAAGATTGACTTAAACCGCGTCGTAGCGGCGAGCTCGTTCGCGCTATGGTTTACGTGCTCTTGTCGTTAAATCAATTTTGTAACCAGGAAACATGTGTTTGTCGAAATAAGTACACAACTAAGTTTTGTTTTATCCTCAAAAAAAGCGTGGGAATAAGAACTCGATTTATCCGAACAGCGTCAAAAATCGACAAGAAAAGTTTCGCATACTGCCCAACATTTATTCGATTTCAGTTACGTTAGCTTCGAAATGTTCCTAAAAGTAGTTTCCTGTCTGAATTTTTTGAAACTTCCCTCCACTTGCCCAAAATTTCTAAGTTAATATCGAGGTTCTTCTTTTGTTGGTAAGATTTAAGACGTATAAAAGACAAAACGTCATTTCAACTTGGGAGCGGAAGTTCTAAGAACAGCAGGGGGCTAAATTTGACCTCTTACAAGAGGAATTAATAATTATTTGTGTGGCCGTTGCAAAGAATAAAAATTGAAATTTCAGAGAAATGTCTCTTAGACTGAGAAACATGGATCGATACCGAAAATTGAGGGCGGAAGTTGATACAGGTATAGGTCAACAACGGTCACTTTTTCACCAAATTTCACACAGATCTCCTTCTAAGAACACTAAGGTTAACATTTTAGATTTTGCTGCAACTTTGTTTGATTCTAAATTGGCTCAAAAGGGAGTCGTCTAAAGGTTTCTAGTGATTAAAGTTGTGTTTTTTTTTGTTTCTCACAGCCGTTTATTCCCAACGCAAACGTTTTGATTCGTGTTTTTGTTGCATTTAAATTTGTCAAAGATAGACAAAGCCAGCTTTCTGCCCATGAGTAACGTCATGTAACTTCCTTCCGTAAATGACCAATGAACAATGGGCTCTTTTGCAGAAACGATTGGAATTACGCGAAATATGCTTTCATCCGCTTTTTATCCTTAAGAAAAAGCAATTGCGGTTTTTGTGCCATTCAACACCACAATAGATTAAAACTTGACCGAATTCCACATAACATATTCCTCACATGTGCAAAAAACTTCAGTGAAGACTAAAGTTTTTTTTTTCTTTTTGTTATAGAAGAAAATTCATAAGTGGAAAAAGGAAATTTAGCGATGTCTCAAATGGGTAAGTTGACGGTTTTAGGGTTTCATTCATGAAGAGATGAACAAATGGCTTTATATAATCTCGTGCGATAAGAACTGATGGTAGCTTATAACGAATAACGCAGCGTTAAATAAAAATACATATATTTCATACCAGGCGAGATATAGAGTTAACCCAGCAAATTCTGATAATTTTCTTAGCCCAAGAAAACAGGCTGTCACACGTTCAAATTAGTTTCAGTCTTTTTTTTTTTTTTCCCACTTCGTATAACAAAAGTGGTATTTGACAACGTATGAAAAAAGACATATTCCGCTATTAAATAATATCTTAATAAGTTCCTGGCGTCATTCTATTGACAGTTGACTTCAGGTGCCTTTATAATTGATACCGGAAATTTCAGTTCCTACCGACGTTTCTATCAAGCACATATTGTGGTCTGAGAAAACCCTCATAATTTACATTTTTGTCCACAGAAAGCCTACGAAAACCCCCCAAAACTGCCATTCATCTTTGGGAATTCTTACTCAATCTCTTATTGGATGAAAAAAGTCATCACATGATATGTTGGACCAATCGTGAAGCAGGAGAGTTTAAACTGAAAAACCAGGAAGAAGTTGCGAGGAGATGGGGAAATTTAAAGCAGAGGCCTGGAATGAATTACGACAAACTAAGTCGAGCGCTGAGATATTATTACCAGAAAGGAATCATCAAGAAGGTATTGTTCTTTTTCAATATTAGGAGCTACGAAACACCATTCGCTTCGTTTTAAATCTACTGAGTTTATTACCTCTTGAGCTACTATTCTATAACTTCAGTTCTCGGGCTTTCTCCTCTGTTTTTTGGGGCATGCCAACTTCATTTTTCTTTTCTTAGCAATTGCAAACCATATGAATGTCCTTCATCTTTTAAAACCTTGTTCCCTTTGGTTAAAGGCTATTTTCTTGTGACGCGCCCAAAATGTCATAATGCTTTTCCCTTAACAATTAAGCGTTTCTTTCACTTCCCAAAAAGATAAATAGTACTTTTATGATGGGGAATCTATTGTTGGGATAATTGCAAAGCTGATCAATGGCAGTTGCGCAAACCGGGAAGTTCCTTTTTGGTGGCCCTGATAATAAATAGTTAATTTACATCTTACTTCCTTTAAAAAAGAGACTTTCTCTGGGTCTATTTTCAGTCCTTTGCCTTTGGGAATAGCTCACATCTTTGGCGAAAAAAGAGCTTTATTTGCTCTCATTGTCTTATGTTTAATTTTTTTTTTACTCAGCTTTTCAATGTTCTAAAGGCCACTTTTTGTATCTTCCTCCTTCAGGTTAATGGACAGAGACTTGTTTACAAATTTGTCAAACCATTTTTTGGAAAAGAGAGCTCTCCCTCGCGAGAAGTTCCCTCAAAAACGCCATCACCGATGGTAGAAGATAAGATAAAAGCTGAAGAGCCAGTAGAAGGGAAGAGTGAATCCTCCGGCGTGTCGTGTGTGGAAAACAACATGGAAAAAGTACCTCAGAATACGCTCACGAGCACTCCGATGGGTTTCCGAATCATTCAAGCCCCAATGGTCGGTCCAGGTCAAATTCCATATCCACTCTCTCTTTACCCGTACGTTGTTTCTTGCGTCATTCCAACGTGCCCACGACAATTTGGAGTCATCAAGTCATAGACTGTTATCAGTGTTCCTGTTTTCATTGTGTTGTACTAGAGGAGATAAAAAAATCGTTTCTCTTAGGTTTTTTTCCATTCCCCTCTCCGTACTTTATTGTATATTTTACCTCCACCCCACCCCCACTACGTGAGGCTCCAATTTAGTTCAAAAAGTGTTCGAGACTCCTCTTTGACAAACATTCGTTTCAAGTGTTATTCTCCCTTTAGTGTAAATAATTTCCAGTTACATGGACGAAAATCATCGTTTAAAAAGAATAGATTATCACGCTGCCTTTGGGAAGCAATTTCTTTTTTCCAAATTGACACTGACGGCGGCTGTATATATATGATGTTCAAATGTACAGTATTAATTTAATGAGAGTTTTAATTGTATCGACAGAGATAATTGTCGTTGCCATATTTTTGCTTCTAATTTATACCTAGAATGATATTGCGCTTGCAATGCGTTTAGAACTCTGCGCACAAGCCATTTAGTTAATCACGTCACGTTCATGGAGAGATTGTGTGACGGGTGTTGCGAAGCCATGAAGGCGATTAGCACAGTTTTGTTTCTGCTAAGGGCGAAGAATGATTTAAGTCAAAGGTGTGAGTTTTTATTTTGTATATAATGATGCAGGCTTCAGATAGCCTCTTAATAATTTCAATAAATATCGCACCAACTTTGATTAGTACCTGTCTGTGTCTCTGTTTTAAAATATTTTTAGTCTGGTGATAATGCGCTAATCGCAAAACGTGCCAATCACAGCTGAGCATAATGGGTCATAGCTAGTGTCACGTGCATCCGGTCGACCCTAATATTAGAAGAAGACAGGCAGTATTCAGATAGAACGACGCGATCCACATCGGAAGTGACTATATCAAGAGAAAAACAATTAGGCTTCATTCCGAGTACATTCACTATATTGAATCGCTGCAACCTATTTCACGATATCATCTCTTTGGCCATTTATCCCACAAGGCTCATTGCGTGGCAAGCCCGCCACTTCTGCTTTCTAGGACTAGCCGGTCGAAAGTGTCTGTGACATGTATGCTGAGATAAAGTATCAGGGAAAATCATAAACCGAGGAGAAAAACTTCGAGTCTAACATCATATCGCAATTAGTTCTTTTTTTTTTTTTTTGTTAAGGTGTTCTTCTAATGCCTCATTCTCCTGAAAGCTTAAACATGTTTTAAAGCCGTTTTGTTAAACACAGTTTAATATCATCGCAGTTACATAAACCAATGTTTTTCAACTTCAACTTGAGCACGTTGAAAATACAAGGTTTTAAATACTTGAACCCTATAAGAAATTCGGTTTTTCTGTTCTCGCTTTCTGATTTTCATTCAGTTAAACCCGTAACTAAACATGTTTTGCTCGTGCGAAAATGTTATTAAATTTTATGGAGGGAGGGGAGAGGAGATGGGCTGTACTTGATATACCTCAGCCACCTATCTGCACTGTCTTCCGCACCAGTTAACAATTAATAGGGCTTGTAAAAGTTGCGTAAGGGTTTGAGATTCAGTTTCGCTTCAATGTAGCAAAATCAAGCTTTATCTCGGGGCTGACTGAAGTCGAGAATTGGAAACATTTACCTGAAAATTTAGTTCGAATAATTGTTTTATTAAAAAAAACCCCCAAGATATTAGACAAATCTTGTCGACTTTATTTTGTAAGAAGAAACCGGATGTTACAATGTACAGATATTAGATTGTATATGGTATATTGGCTCATATACCATAATGACTAAGCCAATAAAAAGTCTTGAATTGCATTATCCAATGATCCAGTTTTTAATAATACATATTGGTGACATGTCTTTCACTGATATTCATCCGAACGCGGACAAACAAACGCGCGTTCTGCAGTTCTTACGAAAACCACACCCGATTTAAGACCTTAATAGTCAAAACTCAATCTGTTTTGAAAAACGATTATTTTTTGAGGCAGCATGTATCTGTATGGCTTACATAGGAGAGAAACAATATCCCTACCCCTCCCCCTCTTCGCCCACCTATTGCACGGGATATTGGTTAAATTGGCGTCGCGTGCCTCAAGCGGAACTCCTTCTGTGCGGGCAGACTTCCTTCTGGCTAAGATACACCTGCTCAGAGACCACAATATCATAGCAGATGTTTTCTTCATCTTTAGCGAGATATTCTCATCGTCTGGTCGAAAATAATAAATCTTTAAATATCAACATTCTGCCAGGTACAATCTTGAATTCGAGGAAGATGTAAGTTTTGAAATTCAACAATGCTACCAGAAACGAATCGTTCATCGCTGGCTAATCTTTGAATAGTTATCCAATGCATATAAAAGCATCACCTGTGCAGCTTAATATAAACATTCCATTTATAATTAGAAGTAGTGCTGACAAGAAATAAAGTGCTGACTACTGAATTATTACTGAGTCACGTCCGAACTTATCCATGAGCTAAAAATACTTTTGTACAGAGCATCATAATACGAAAACAGTAACACATGAAGATTCTGCTCAGCGGCACCATTCACTGAGTTTCAAGACAGTCACAGCTCACCCAGGCAGAGTGTTAAATACGGTAGTTGCGCTCTTGCTAAATATAGACATGACAGCTGCTGACAGAACTAGTGCGCATGCCCATAACCTGTGTGGGATTCAAAGTTGAGGTAACGAACTATTCCCTGCGGGTAGCTTTAAAATCCCTGGGAACTCCTTTGGTCAGTCAAAAGACGAAAGTGCTGTCAAATGGAATATAATTTACGGGGTATGAAGTATTTTTGTAAAACATCAATCCTCTTCGTATATATTAAATCGCATGATCTGCCGCAGATCCATTCTACCCACCCCACCTCCCCTGTTTTTACTGCTAGAAATTCGTAGCGCTTGAGGATGAGAATAGGCAACCTCGTTCCCAGGGCCTTTTCACTTAGCTGGGGGTGGGGCGGGGAACCCAACCTCGTTCCCGGGGCCTTTTCCCTAACCCTAACCCTTTTCCCGCCCCACCCACAGCTCCACGCCCAAAGGGTAAAGGCCCTGGGAACGAGGTTGGCGGGGAACCCACCCCCAGCTCCACCCCCATCAAAGGGAAAAGGCCCTGGGAACGAGGTTGGAGAATAGGAAGTTAACCCTTTCACTCCTAAGATCTCATTAGTGATTCTCCTTACTGTCTGTCATACAATTCTTATGATGTTAGTTTGGAGAATTTGCTATTGGATCAACCCTAAATCCCCTAATTGATATTTTTCTTTATTCTCATCACTTGTCTGCTTGATATTGTATCGATATTGTAAGGAGAATCTCTACCTTGGTCATTCATGGGAGTTAAAGGATTGCTCAGGGTGATTCATGAAAACCTGACTAGAGTTGAAGCAATGGAGGAAAGACATTTTGCGCCGTGTTTTTTTTCTCTAAAATGCTTCACGTTATCACCTTCACTATTTACAAACTACCTGAGGGAAAACATATCGCCGTAGAAAAAAGAAAAAAAAACGCGGTATTTTTACCTACAAAGTAAAGCAACCTCGTTCCCAGGGCCTTTTCTTTAGCTGGGGATGGGGCGGGGATGGGGCGGTACCCACCCCCAGCTAAGGGAGAAGGCCCTGGGAACGAGGTTGAAAGTAACGATGATTTCTTAAAATGCTCGAATTCTCTCCAGGCGGCAGAGCGCACTAATAATATCTCTGTCTTCTTCTCAGTCGCCATAATGGCAGCTATGTTTCCGTTGTTTAGCTAACTAGAGGGTGTACACCAACATTTTACCCCCTGCCTCACACTTAGGATCAAATTGTACTTCATTTCACAATATCGGGACATTCTCCAGCAAGCAGGTAAAAAAGAAAAGAAAACTTATCAGCAGGAGTGCATTGAGTGGGTTTAGCATAATTGCACAGGTAGTGTACAACGTTGCGTGAGTCTTGATTGGTGGAAATGACGTTACGATAATCACTCCGCGGCGATTATCATGCTAGAGCACTAATTTTCCAAACGGTCAATTGGTTGTGGGAGGTCTGGGTACGAGAGGAAGCTCGATCAGTTCGATTGTTTGATATTGCATAGAAGCAGAAGATCAATGAAAATGCAGTTACTCTGATAAGTACGTGTATTTGAGTACTTGAATTGTAACAGTTATTTTCCTAGGGGAACGGACAAAAATCTAAAGAAGAAAAGAATCGTAAAATATCACTTTGCGTTCCGGCAAATAATTGTCAAATAATACCACCTTTTCTTACCTAACGTACTCAGAATGTGCAACAACTGGAAGACAGACTTACAAGTCTGATCGTTGGAGTCAAAAAGGATAATACTGATCATGAAGATAACGTAATTCTCTGTGGCTATGAGGTTACCATGGTTCCGTTACTTTGCCAGATGGAGGGTGCAGAAATATGCTTTTTTTTTTCGGCAACCCATCCAGCTCCATCATTCAGGTTTCATTTCACTTTCGCTTGCTGAATTTTTGACACGCTGAAGTTGAAATTTTTGTTGGCAACGAAACAATAACAAATCCATTAGGACACTTCACTTGTCGGCCAAACTGAGGAAGGAAGTGATCAGATTAAGTGGAAAGACGGCGCCGTGAACACCTAACTAGGGATATCCTTTGATTCATGGATCGAACGCACATAGCTGAGATTTGAAAACTTTTACAAAGTGTTACCGAACACAGCATTTCAAGTGGTGAATCCGTAGTTTCACTCGTGCGCAATGATTCCTCTGTGAGATATCCTGCGGTACGTAAGAAACCTGCGTTTAAGAAACGACCAAAAATTATTCCCGCCATGTAAATCTAGTAAAATCTCTCTAGAAGTACGCGTAAACAAATCAACTTCTTATTCTTAAGTTGGCAGATAAGCTAAAAATAACGTAAGACTTCCCGTTATCCGCTATTTTTCTCGAAACCTCAAAAAATTCGGTGTGAAGTACTTCATATGAACGCTCAAAAAGTCCTCTCGACGAAATAAAAAACTATATTGTTGGTAGATTTCATGAAGTATTTGCAGTACACGTCAACAACGCATTTAAACTTATCTATTGTTTAAGAGAAAGAAAACCATTTCAAATCATGAAGATGTCTGTAAAATAAACCAATTAAATTGCGAGTAGGCGGCGTTTGAGACAGCCATGACATGTTATTTTAACGTCAAAGAGAAATGTCTTTATTTTAAAAGAAAACCTTGGAATATTTTTTATTGGCGGACACTGACAAAGGATGGGTGAAAATGAACCAAAAAGGAAGGAAGATGGTTGATGATAGCAAAGATTGAGGCTGAAAGCAAACGCCGCCTAACTGTAGAACCGTATACTTAATTTTTTAGTTGAGTTATTCGATTCATGCTTAGGTCAAGGTACTCTCAGGTTTTAAGAGTTGTTTTTGGTGATATGTTATGTTCCCATGGTTCTAATTACGTCTTATTTTATATCTTATTTCAGTAACAGAAAACAAAGAATTAAATTTGAAGTGTATCCAGGTTTCCTTTTCCTGTTCAATTCTGTAACGCGTCAGGAAACGTCGTCATCATTTCGCAACATCCGTTGCCCCGCGACGTTATCCTAAGACCTGATTAAAACACCGATTCTCCTTTGTAAATCCATCCTCAGCCTTAAATGTGGGCTCTGATAATTAAGCTTTGCATCAGCAGCTTCTATCAGATGATCAATTTCCCTATTCATATAACATTTCTGCTAGACAGAGTATCACGATTTTTAAGAAG